TCAGGAAAAAAAAAAAAAAAAAAAACCACAGGCAACTAAAGCAGAGGAAGCAGAAGGACATTTTAACAAAATGTATGTTGTTGCTAAGATAATTGAGCATCCATATTCCCATATTCTGGGATTCTTTTCTTTAACTGCATGTGGAATGAAACTGGTCTAACATTCAAATTTGCAGTTGTACCACTCTGAAGCCCATATAGCAAAGAGGACAGGCAACAAATCCTTCTCTACCTTAACCCTCCCACCTTCCAGAGTTTCCTTCTGCTGTGGCCTACCTTTGGATTCCACCCCAACTCAGAAGCTGACTGTGTTGAACCCATCACACACTTCGCTGAAGTCTGTCCTTTTGCTCTGCATCACACGTTTGCTCTAAGTCACAGACTCTGGCCAGGCCTATGTCTTTATTTACTGATCAGCACATCGTACACCATAATGGTCCTAGCCATTCTTGTTCAAGACAAACACATGGTGTGCACACAAGTGCGTATCTATTTCAAAGAATGTATTAAGTGCAGGCCTAGCCAAATTGCAAGTTGCAATTTAATACCAGCAACTAAATGTGCACGTATTTTTGTACCAGTGGACTGCAGCATGAGTGCTAACAGTTAGATGTCCTTTCATATGGTTGATTTTAAAAATAACTTTAGGGTACTCTTGTGAAGGCAAATGCTTGCACAAAGTATTATCAGAGCAGTTATTGACACAAGCTGTATAGAAAATCTGTACCATGATAGTTACTAGAGGCATCTGGGAAGTAAAAGGGCAGATGAAACAGAAAACTTAACCAAGATATATGCAAACATTTGCCTGCATTTAGACCACGTCTGTAGCCGGGACAATATTTTGGTTGGTTATCTGTTTCATTTGTTTAAAAATCACAAGGAAAAACTCTGGTAGAGAAAATCTGACCACAGTGTTACACCACAGCACAGCACAAAATTAATTCAATATCCATTTTATCCTAGATAAATAGCCTTGTATTGGTCAAGCCTTTTCAATTTCTGTAAGTCCTCCCAAGTACAAAGCATCAAATCACAATTTCTTTTGAAGAAAAGTAATGTGGAGGGAATACACAGGACCATGGGAAGAATCCCCTTAAATTAACCCTAAGTGAAATTCATTGCCATTTTTTCCTGGGATCACGGGAGAAACTGGACCACAGATCTGCCAAATACTTGTGACTAGCATAGAAATGTAAAGTACTTTTCACTTCTTCTTATCAAATTGCAACCTCAGCCTGAGTTAGCTGATGCAACCCTTGTCCTACAGGGACTAAATTGAGGACAAAATGAAAGGGAATCACCTGTGCAGAATTAATGCCTGGAAACCGTTAGTCACAGGTCTTTTGAAATTCCTCCTGTGGCTCCTCCCAGACATAGCGCTAGAGTTACAAATGATAGATGCACTTGCAGGACATGAGGTTTGGTGGCAGGAAGGCAATGCATGTAGGACCAAGTCAGTGTTGAGGAGCAAGCGCATCTCGGAATGCAGGAGGCTGCAAAGTAGGAAAAGGTAAAACCCTCTCAGTACCACTGTGTCTACTCACACAGCCTCTCCAACGTGGTCATTCTGCTCACCCCAGCAGATCTGCACAGCATGTGGACACACTGCCTGAAAATCATTGGTCAAGAAGGTAATGCCTTAACTCACTCCACAAGCATCAAGAGCCCATAACAGTGACCACTGTTATATTCTGCTTGTCTGGTGCAAGTGTGTATACTGGGTAACATGTGGAACATGTGGAAGCATTCAAAGGTATATCTGCATATTCTGGGTTCGACAGATGCAGAAAAGATCAAATGAAAACTATTTATAGTTGTAGGTACTGTGCAGTAACTAATTGTGATGAATGATGGTTAAGAATGCAGATGGATAAAACAACCATTTCCTGGTATTACATGCTTGTGCTTAATCATTTCTACTCATTGATTTCTTTCCCTTCTCTTTTCTTTCTGAAAAGTCTGCTATCACCTAACGAGCTGTTTTTGCTACCACCAATAGATGCTGAAACTGTTTTTCTCACCAGAGTGCAGAATTTCAAAAATCCTCAGCCCCCAGACTGGAGACTACTCAGTGGCAAAATGTGTACATTGACACAAAACTGATGGCACTCAACACTTCCAAAGTGGAGGTGGGCATTTTTCCTGGGTCAGTTATGGTGGCCAAGAAAAGAGATCATGAGGCCAGACATCTTTAAAATATGTCTGTTCTGCAATTGGCAAGCTGACTTCAACAGAAGGCTCCTGAAAGCTGCACATCAATGTATCAGAAGGACAGCAGTCCTAATACTAAATAGTTATCCAACAACATTTCTGCAGAAGTCAATAAAAAGAATTCTGTTCCATTAAAAAAAAAAAAAAGGAGAAGAACAAGAAGAACAAGAACAAGAAGAACAAACAAAAAAAAAGAAAAGGAGAAGAACAAGAAGAACAACGACAACAAAAAAGAAAAAAAAAAAAAAAACAAAAAAAAACAAACAAACAAAAAAAAACAAGAACACAATACTTAAATTGATGTAGTGATTTTGGAAATCCAATTTATGACATTGAACATTGAAGTCCTCACCTGGCAATGCCCCATTAGCTGTTGTATAGATAACAAGAATCTAGGCATAACATTTATATCCAGCTCCAATACCTTCTCAAGTGATTAGTCACAGCTTTGGCTCGATCAAAAATGTTATCCATCATTGTCTATCACATTTTCCCAAAAGTAACTTCATTCAGTCCTTAATCTCCATCTTTACGCATTACAGTTACTCAACATGGAAGCCCATAGAGGAGCCAACACATCATTTGTTCTTCATATGTCTCCTTAAAACCCACCCTGCATAGCATACTGTCCAATCCACTCATACTTTGCCAGGTCTCCTTTAAAGATCCACTGGTAACTTGCATTCTCTTGTCTCCCACTCATTCACTCCTACCTTATACTTGGACTATGGATAACAATGTCACCGTCAAGTTATTGCAGCTTAAACATTTATCACTTGTTAACTGAGATATGTTCACCAATGTTTCACACAATCCTCCCATACAGAAGCTGCAATAAAATATTAGCTTAAATTGGCTCAGCTGACAGGTGAAACTGTATCATGAATTCTTGCAGTTGTCATTCATATCCTTCAGTGGCAAACTATTTAGAGCATTGCTGAATTCTGTCGCATGTGCAAAACTTCTCACCAGTTCTTACAATTGTTTGTGGTATGAGATCAGCACTGTGGAGAAGGACTTGGGAGTACTGGCAGAAATAAAACAGAACATGAGCCAGCAGTGTGGGCTTATAACCCAGAAAGCCAACCATACACTGGGCTGCATCAAAGGAAGCGTGGCCAGCAGGGCTGGGGAGGTGATTGTCCCCCTCTGCTCGGCTCTTGTGAGACCCCACCTGAAGCGCTGCGTTCAGCTCTGGGGTCCCCACCACAAGAAGGACATGGATATATTAGAATAAGTCCAAAGGAGGGCCACGAGGATGATGAAGGGTCTGGAGCACCTCTCCTATGAAGATAGGCTGAGGGATTTGGGGTTGTTCTGTCTGGAGAAGAGAAGGCCCCAGGCAGACTGCATAGCAGCCTTCCAGTACCTAAAGGAGGCCTACGGGAAAGCTGGGGAGGGACTTTTTGTCAGGGGTTGTAGTGATAGGACAAGGAGCAATGGTTTTAAACTAAAAGAAGGCAGATTTATATTAGCTATAAGGAAGAAATTCTTTAGTCAGAGGATGGTGAGGCACTGGAACAGGTTGCCCAGAGAAGCTGTGGATCCCTGGAAGTGTTCAAGACCAGGCTGGATGAGGCTTTGGGCAACCTGATCTGGTGGGAGTTGTCCCTGCCCATGGCAGGGGGTTGGAATTAGATATCTTCAAGGTCCCTTCCAACCCACACCATTCTATGGTTTTATAATTCTAGTATGTCCCCATGTATCTGTAATACCACAGTAACCACTGATGCATGTCTGGATCTCTCTGCACATGATCAGCCTCACTGAAACATGGAGCATCACCTGCTTGAAGAACATGCACAAATACTGAAGGATACAAGGTCATGGCCTTAAAACTAATGGGCTTTCTGACAGTGGTAGAACAGAAGTAGAATAAATTCAGAATGTTACGAGCCCTGTTGTGCATTAAAAATTTCATTCCAGCCTTCTGTGTTTTCCTGATTGGGCTTACTGTTATTCACACTGTAATTATTCACGCAGTTTGTACTGTAGATACTCACTGCACCTTGTGTTAATACTTAGGAATGAGACAAAAAAAAAATCATCTCAATATTCATAGATGAACACTACAAGTGAATTGCTGACAGAATGTTTCCTGGGGTGGAAAAAATGGAGAAGTTTCTGTTTTATGGGTTGCCAGAGGGAATAGTTTCTAAAGCATAGCTCGTGCACTGAAGGAAAATGAAGACAGTCCCCAAAACAACACCCTTAGCTCAAGGTTTTCTGTTATTGAGTTATTGCTTTTATTTTATATACAATGCAAAAAAATGCTGATTATTATGATTCAACATTCTCTAAGAGAGACAGAAGCAGTAAATAGGGTAGGTAGGGAGATAGAGGAGGAAGTTGTCAACAAATATCGAGCATAACATTTCTGTGGGTTTCAGATAGGGTAGCAATGATGTTCCTTTGCCATGTACAGGCACTTACACATTTCTGGTAACTGGTAAGAGGCCCAATATCTGACCTTTTTCTTCTACACTTTTGTGGCCTTTTTTAAGATCTATAGATTTTTTTTTAATCTTTTTATAGTGATTTTACAACATCTGGAGACCATTTAAAACACTTAAATGTATATATTCCCAAGCTAAAATGTTCACACAGAAATGATTAAAACTCTGCAGCCACTGTACACACCAGCCTTATCTTGTAGATCTCACTCATTAGGCACACCTTTGGGGCAGGGTCATGTCCGAATCAATAGTCCCATCAGATTTTATGAGACTCCCTGAAACAAAGTCTTTCAGATAAGGCAGAAAACAAAGGTCCATGACTACTCCTCATTAACAATCTCACTGAATTTTTCATGGGTCGTACTTGTATTTGTTGTTGTCCCAGTTAGCCTAATTCCACTTTGGGCAACAATTTCCTGTCTGAATTTGTTGTTAAATCCCATTAAACATAACACCTTTCACATGATCCTAATCTGCTAGGTGGGAGGGAGGGCTCTCAAGCAATTGCCACGTCAGGATAGGAGGAAGTTTCACTGCAATTTTTATTAGTAAGCAGGAGCTGCATTGCTTCTAGTCCCTTATGATCAGAAGTACTACTTGAAGGTAAGGTGGTCTGGCATGGTAGAGAATTTGGTTCACTAGTGATGGGTTTCATAGACCTTGCCAAGCACTTCTCTGTTGGCCTGACTTTCTCATGGATTTTATGGGTGGTGACACACACCCTGTGCCTGATTTTCTTCCAGGGGCTTCCAAACAAAGCTTTCTTTCCTGGAGACGCAGTCTGGGAGAGCTCAGAATTCACACGTCTACCCTGGAGGGATGCACTGGCTGAAAGCAGGTCTATGGTCGATGTAAGGACCTGCCTGAAGTCTGCTCCCTCTGTGTGTCAATGGCACAAGACCTATTGAAGTACCAGACACCAAACCACGTGATTTCCTGCTTCTGGTCTTCCACTCCTCAAGGATTTGGGATCAGTGTCCTACAGGGTGGTGAGGAGCTTTTCCCTTTAACTTGCATCTCAGGGAGGGCTACCAAGAGAGAGAGATGCTTTCCTCTCCCCTCGCTGAGTTTCTTTTGAACTTGGCAGTCACTGCAGCCAAGTTCAGAACTGCTCCTGCACCACTGGAGCATCTCCCTTTGCTGCTTCCTGTCCCCTGACTCCTTCTTCCTCCTCCTGTGTCTCTCTTCCAAGGCCCCTCTCCATCTGCAAGCCCTAACCCCAACACCTGGTACCTTTGTTCTGCTCTTGGGGAAATTCCTCTTTTCCTGGACTCCTGCCGGGCACTTGGAAAAAACTGGCTTTTCCCAAGGCTTCAGCCACCCCATTGTTTTGCCTGGACCATGCCTATTCACTAGCTAATAATACTCTTTTACGACTGTCTCTTTCAACCACAGAGCCGAAGGCGTAGCCCCCCAGCTTCTTTGCACAAGGAACACGGGCACCACACAGACAAAGATAGCGATTAGACATAAAAATAGACAGTTCATAAAGCTACAGTGAATTTCATAAACTGTACACAGACATGTTTTCCAAAAGTGTTTGATTATCTTTGTTGTTTTTTTTTTTGTTTTGTTTTGTTTTTTGTTTCATCTTGTTATTCAGTGGAGACTGACATTTGAGTAACCACTCACAATTGGATGTAACTGAATCATATGAATCCTTCTCAGAACAGCCAAACTACCACATGAGAGAGGACAGACTAAATCAGACATCCCGGCAGACATTCAAGAATTGAATGAGGACATGGGTTGTACTGCCTCGTGTTCCCAGCTATGTGTGACCTGGGTCATTCAGTATCCCCAGTCCTGACCTTCACACTAAGGAAAGTACCTGGCAAATGAGAAGGAAAATTTGAGAGAGAAGGGAAGGAAGGAGGGACCTCAGACCCAGAGATGATATAAGAACATACGTTGGCAGAGCATGGAAGGACAGTAATTACAGGTTCAGTCAACAATCAAAAAGCAAAGGGTACAGTTTACTTGCAGTTGCTTTGCGTGACAGCTTGAAATCTACACAGCTGTTGTTTCTCCTTTATGAGGGATAAGATTTACCCATGGCACTGTTTGTGCAAGATTCAGCTGGATTTTTTACCAGGCTCCAGCTTATCCAGAAACCATGAAGAAGCACTCTGTCCATCACTATAACCAAACCACAGTCATACCACCAGCTCAGAAACACAAACGTGGTCCCGTGAATGAGACATCTGTAGCAAAAGCAACTCTAATGAGAAATTCTGTCATCTCCATATGCTCAGGATGATCTGGGATGACTACAGATGCAGCCTCAGTCGTTACAGCAGCAGAAGCAATCTCTGCTGTATCAAATTAGCACAACAAGTTCCAGGCCTATACCAAACCATGAAAAGATATGTGACACGAACTGCTACTTTCCAAGGGACATACTAATGTGAAGCCTGTATAGAAGACGGTCCACCTGGCAAAGGTTCTGTTAAAAGCAATGAGTGATATTTTTGTAGATTTCTCTGTGCAGGGAAGATGTCCACATGCAGGGTCAACCCACAGCTCTTGTCCCACATAAGGCTGGAAGACTTCCTCGGGACAGGTACCCTGCCAAGGCATTGCCACAAGTAAAGGCTGTACAGAAACTGGGGCTACTGAGTAACCTGAATTCCCTCCCTTGGAAGGAAGCAAACCACCGAGGCCAGTGCTGTTGTGCTGCAGTCAGAGCCCACTGCACCCTCAGCCCAGGCCCAACCTGCAACAGAGCCACTGCTACCACCCTCCTTGCACTTACCAGCAGACATCATGCTTCTTGGAGGTGTCCAGTGTGTGCCCTGTAGCTCTCAACTGTGAAGGAAACGGTGTAGGCAGAGTCTGGCCATTGCTGGAGTGGTCCTGGCTGGAGAGACTTGCGGTTCTGCCCCATTTTGTTCTGTGGCATTGGGCAAACCTTTTGGCTTCTCTGCTGCAGTTCCTCCTTCTGTAAAATGGTGGTAGTGACAGTGTTTCACTACCCGGTGGTGAGAGGTGACTTCTCTCTCTTCTGTTCCTTCTTTAGATGTTTCCAAACCAAGTGAACAGAGGAAACAAACATCTCCATTTTGTGGTTTTATAACTGAGGCACAAAGAAATTAAATAATCATTACTGATGGAAACTGAAGTGGAGGCCACTGTTTCTCACTCCCGTACTTAAACAGTATGTCTTTTCTTTCTCCTATATCTTCTCTTTTAGAAGATTTTGCTAATTTAACACAAACAACGACTTCAACCATGACCAGAAAGAATGCATGTGCTTTCATTGTAATGAAGGAACTCTCTGTTACTTGTCAGCTATAGGGTATATCTATGAATTTTTTCCGAGGCAGTCATCTTCCCAGTGTGTGGTCTATCAGTGGTGTGTGTGTCTGTGTAACATATAAACATTTCCTATGAACTAAAGCCATTAATCTCACCATTTGCATGATCACAATAATATATATATAAGAATATGTATTATATATATGTGTGTGTGTGCATGTGTGACAAATTATGACCATTTCTTTATAGAACTTGGTGAATGACTTTGTGTTTTCAAAAAGGGGATGCCCTTTTTGAAAGAGCCTCCTGAATGCTGAGTTCCCCTCACTGAGCAGCTATGTGTTCCTGGGCAAGACCGTAGCAGATGGGAGATGGGTGAGTACCTTGTCTTTAAAAATATTGGAGTAAGCTGGAACCTTTTGTAGACTGCTCCTAATGGCAGCAACATATTTGTGATAGAGATCTAAGTCCATATATATGTATATTTGTTTGGAAACATGGAAATCTGTCCAAACTAATAAATTGGGTAGTGTACAGAGTGTCTCGTTTCCAAGGTTATTCTGCTGAGTCCAAGAAAAGCAAAGTACAAGTAGAAAGGTTTCCCAGTGCCCATCTCAGATTAACGGGGACATAAGTGGGTAGCAACAGCTGAAAAGCTATAGACATGAACTAAAACTCTTTGAAAGAAAACCTCAATAACTTGAACGGTCATCTGAACAGATCTCTAGAGAGGAGAAGATCAGTGAAGATACTATTGTGAAAACATACAGAATTTCCTTTTTGACTGTATTACATATTTAGCAATGTACCAGAAAGAACGCAGATGACAGCATTATTTCTGTATTATACAATATCATGTATCTATTCAGACTTTTCTGTGGAAAGCAGAATCATAATAAATTATAAAACTATTTATTTTTCTGCCACTTCCAATTTTTTTCTCGGCTCTCAGTCCATCGGTTTCAACATCCATGATGCGAGAACATCACTTTAGCTTTCGTTCAGATGTACTTACTAGAGATGAAACAAAAGCAAGAGGAAAATTTTGGTTAGGAGACCTGAAAAGAAAAAAAATATTAAAAAAATCAGGCTCAAATCTGAAATTTAGTTTGTGATGGCATGAAATCCACTTTTTTAAGGTGGAAGAGTTTCCCTACTCTTCAACTTCTCTAGAAAGCACTCATATTCTTTTGCTACAGATCAACATGGGATTTTGCTAACTGAGGATACATAATCTGGTTCTGTTTAAATCCCAAGGCAGGCACACTCCCAGGACACATTCAAAAGTCTGTGTATTCAGGGAAACCTTCCTTCTCCTGAAGCTGATTTTTCCCCTTCTGCATTGTGCTGCTGGCCAGAAAACATAGGGAAAAAAAAAAAAAAAAAACACCAGAGCAATTCTTGACTGACCCAGCAGAGGAACAGACCTTCTGGCACTTTTCCAGCAGCCCTGACATTGAGGTTATTACGGAAATCCAATCACACTCTTTACAATTAGAACTTGGGTTATCAAAATTACCGGCTTGTTTTTCGCTATGACTAGGGTGAAAGGTGACAAAAAATGGAGAAATAATAGAGAATCGACAAATACAATTGGCAAGCATGTGGGGCAAGGCACAACAATTAAGAAATGACCACTGGGATTAAGTACCTCAGCCTTATATTAGACCTCTGACAATGGAGTTGAAGCATGACTGACAGAGGATCATGACTGCACTGTTTGGAGCTTGGATCCTTGAAAACCCCTAGCCAGAGCCCTGACACAAAAGTAATTAAATAAATCGGACAGAAAAATGCCATGTTCTTCACATTGGGGGCCACAGGCACTGCTCATCATTCCATGGCCCATATTCAACAAAGGGAAAAGACATCTTGAGGATACTAAAGTCCAACCAACATTATAAAGCTTGAATTTTAGTGGCAATTCTTCAGGCAGACACTAGAAAGAGTCAAAATATCCCAGTAACTCTATAATCTTCTCTGTCTACCACCTAATTCCATCATCTGCTGCCATCCAGAGAATCAAATGACTTGATCACGTCTTTTCTATCTATCATAATTACAGAGAACCGGCAAGGTGCTGAGCATTCACATGGTGAGACCATTTTATATTTCTAGAGGTTGTTTCCCTAGACTGGGCCTTTACAGGAATTCAAGAGTCAGAGGCCAGTGACATGCAATCACTCTATCAGGCAGTATAAAACAATGGGCAAATGTGTGCAAAGGCTGTGAACAATCTCAAGAGGAAAAGGAGGGTGCAACCTCCAAGTCTATATTTGGTTTTGTTTATCATCAACAATTAACCCTGCTCTAATTTACACCCCCTTAAGTATATGCAAGTCACAATCCATTTATTCCTTTTTTATGAGGAACAACATAGTATTCAAGATCCAAGATTGTTTTTCATTTCTTTAAACAACAGCTGACATAAACACTTATTCCAGATTGTCTTATAACATTCTGTGGTGGGATCATGTATTCTGGGCACCAAACCAACATCAACACTCATGGGTGGGGGTGGCTGCTGATAGGAGAAAGGTAAAGGGAGGTATGCATATCTGACTAAAACAAAAGAGCAGAACTTTCTGGCAGTTCCCCATTTTCCACATTCCTTGGTCTTCTGCAAGGACAGAGATCCTACTGAGAAGGATTCCTTGAAATCTCAGATTCTCACAGATCTCTGTCTCAATTTGTTTTGAATACTGCAGAAAAGAATGTTTGCCCTGGTCATGCAGGAATGGGTATTTTTATCACATGGCAGAGGCAGTAGATCTATCCAGGGATTATGCCGTTTATGAAGCAACGAAGTTACTAGCAGCAGTAAGCTGAGCTGTTCATACAGTCTACCTAGAAGAAATAATACCTTTCTTTGTGCAGAAGTACAAAAAGTATATGGTAGCACAGCTGAGATATATTCTTAAATAAATAGCTATTAAAAATAAAGCTGTTAAAAGAATGCAATGGTTAGGCACTGAGGTTAATATATTTGCCAGGGTTTCTACAGCAACGCGTTGAATTCACTTTCAGTCATGATCAAATAGTCTTCTACTTTAACTATGTATAGGAATTCAATTTATGTGTCTTCTACTCTCCAGCTTCTCCACTTTACTTGTCAGTTTTCAGGGGAGAAAAAGAGAATAAAAAAGGTGCAACCATTCAAGTTGACAACATATCTGGTAAAGAGCACATGCATGGACAGACCACTCTACTGCAGTTGTAACACAACTGTTATCTTCTAAAGGTGCAATGAGTTTTAGAGATGCTGAGCACTGCAGAATCCTGTTGGCCTCAGACAGGAACTGCAGGCCTTCAGTATCTTCAACACTCTTCCACCACCTCAATATCAGGGTCTCTGAAGACCAGGTCAAGAAAATACCTCATCACATATCTACCTTCATTTAGGCACAATATCATGTTTAAAACTCTAGACCTTTTTGCACATTTTTAGATATACGGGATATAAAGTGATTTCTTGTCATATCAGCTTGCTGTTACAAATAGGCAAACTACATAAGCCCATTTCAAATAAAGTGATTAGCACATTAGCACCATATTTTTGAGATCTGCTGACCTGATTCCCCAACTCTAGTCAAATAGTTTTTTGTCACATCTTTGCCAGACCCCAAAGCTAGCACGCAGTCTAACAAGACATATGGACTTCTCCCCAAAACAGTAAGTATAATGGCAGGTTGTGTAGAACAGGACTTGAGTCTATCGCTCTTTCTTACTGCCACACACTGACACATCCAGTTCCTGACAAAACTGCCTTCACCCACACGCTGTCCCACCAGAATAGCTACAATTTGCTGTACATGCTTTCCACTAGGCAACACAATGGATATCCTCCTCTGTCTGCCCTCATGTATTATGTAGAAGAGACACAACTAGTTGTATTAATGCTAGCTCAAAGTCACACACATGTACACACGCACACACACAGACTCACACAAACACTCTCAAACAAATCCCTCTCTCTATTACAATAAATATCTCATAAAAAATTACATACCCTGAATAGATTCAACAGCAAAATAGCAGCTGTTGCATAGTTTGAGGGTTTTTATTTTTAACTTATTAATATGCTGATCAGATTCTTGTAATCAGAAGAAAGTGACATTAATCTCATAAAACATGTAAACTGTATTTTCTTGGAGAAAAGAAAGAAAAAGAATATGTTGGCAAAGCTGCAGCTTCTTTCCTTTTTTTTTTTTTTTTTAAGGGTGTCAGAACACATCTGCAGGTTGAGTTGAAAGTGAATGCAGGTCATCACCATAATCACGGAGCAACATAAGGAGATGATGAGAGGATAGAGAGCTTTTCACTTCTTGGCCCACAATTTAACTCTTGTCCTGATGTGCAGACTGAGAGCATTTTCTGGTCACAGTTCATGTGAAAGTAGTTGGTGGATGTGTCTGTGCCCATCTCAGAAGAGTTATGGTTACAAAAGGTATTCCTTGCAAACAAGAGACCAACAAGAGGCCCAGGAGTTTACCTCAGTGCCTATTAAAGACAGTGTGACTCTTTTCAGTGAAAACAAATAAGTATTGTATCACACTGTTAAGCAATGAGAAGAGAGGCTGGCCTTCTCACCTCCATGGACAATTTCTTCACAAAAAATTGTGATAAGGAAAGAGACGATGGCAGGAGCCATTCGTTGGAAGGTAAGTGAATCAGGCTTGAGCATCAAGGATTCAAAGACTGTGGTATGAAATTTAAGGCATTTTAAATAGACTTGATAGGGAAGAAGCAGTTGCTTGGTGCTTTCTGAAAATCATAATTTCTGTATAGCAAACTGAACTAGATAGAAAACTTGAGGTACATACATATTTACTCAATCACCACTCTGGAATGCAACGGAATGCAACGGAATGCAATGGAATGCAACGGAATGCAACGGAATAGAATAGAATAGAATAGAATAGAATAGAATAGAATAGAATAGAATAGAATAGAATAGAAATACATTTTTCAGATTAAACTTAACAAATGTTTTTGTTGAATTAAGATCAATCAGTTCCTTACATGTATTAACAGTTTAATCAATATTCTTCTCCAGGT